AGTTATTCTCTGAGGGGTGGAGCCGCCAAAACCACATCATTATTATTAATGCTATTATTGTGAACACGATCTTATTTTTATGAATATTCTTTCAACATTCACTGCACGCGCCTTCACTCATTCACTGCACGCGCCTTCACTCATTCACTGCACGCGCCGTCACTCATTCACTGCACCCGCCTCCATGCACGGATTTATTCTAGTAGAACTTGCAGCAGCACTAGCAGCACCAGCACCAGCACTAGCAGCACCAGCACTAGCAGCAACAGCACTAGCAGCACCAGCACTAGCAGAACTACAGCAGCTTGTCGGAAGCCACAATCTGTTGTTTCCTTCGCTTTTATCGGCACGCTTCTGGTGCGACGTCTTCGGTGATGTTGTCCACAGTGCTGTGCTATATTGCTGTACTAGTGCTGTGCTAGTGCTGTGCTAGTGCTGTGCTAGTTTTGTGTCAATTGTGTGTTCAATTGTAATTTTTGTAATTGAAAAAATATGGGTCACTTCTTTAGACTTTGACCTTTCATTCTTATCACGTATAAGTTAATAATTTTTTTCTCGAAAATTTCGTCCATTTACACCTTTTCGTTTCCATGCTTGACTGTTTCTTTTGTACTCTCATTTCTTTTTTATCTATTCCAAAATTGCAATATTAATCTATTAATCGATTGAGTGAGGTTAGACATCAGTAAAGTAGAAATGATCTAGCTAATTTAAATATTATAGTTTAGTATGGTCTTCTTACGCATTTTATTTTTGCTAATACTTACACTACTTATCTTATTAGTTTCAGCAACTTTCGCTAAATAATTAATGAGACCTGCTTTTCTGTTGTTTGTTCGCTAGCGCTGTGCAGTGATGATTTAACTCAACTTCTTATTATGTTGACATTCGTTGTCACGATTCAACAATTAGTGTTGACGCTATGCAGAAGTTTTTCTATGGCCGTAGAAAATCGGCCTCGAAGAGCGAGTCTTCGGAAGGCTCTTCGTTCAAGTTAAGGTTCAAAAACATCGGACTTTCCAGACCACAGTCGTCTGTTGAAAGTCCAGAACTTGAAAAAACAATGGACTTTGATAGGCGTTTTAAATCAGCCTCCGAGAACTCATACAGGGAACTTCAAGCCACTCTAGCCTCCACTCTAGAGGCCGTAGCCCTTAAAGATAAAGTTATATCAGTTCTTGAAACCGAGGTTAGAGCTCAAGAAGAACAAATTTGTTTACTGAAAAAGCAACTTAAAGACTACCAAGCACAAATGTCAGCTGCTTGTGCGGTAGATAAATTAGCCGGAACGTTGCGATATTCGTATCCGCAGTTTGGCAACGCGACTCCGGAGTCCGCTTATCCGGACCTCTCCTCGGCCATCCGGCCAAAACGGATGGCCATTTCCGCGGAACCGCAAATCGGGGATACTCCGCTGTCCGCTCCTGTGCCTGTTGAAAAACCCGCGCGGTGAGATCTGTTTAGAAATTTATATAATATTAGTATAGATTGGCAAAATTTGTTCCTTTAAGCAGGTTTCATTGAAGACCAGGGCCTATACTTTCAAAAAAAGTTAAGAGATCGTAAGTTTATCAGCCAATCATTGACGGCCTTTCTAGCAAAATCCACCAATCATAGACAAGAAAATAGAGCGTAAGTACTTACGTTCGCTTAGCGAGTTTTGAAAGTATGGCCCCAGAGACTTCGTTTTATTGACAATTTTCTTATTAGTTTTTTGTAATAGATCGAACAATATTTTTCGTTTGCACTGGTAAACCAAAAATCAGCGTGCAGATGGACATTTTTATTTCTTTAAACAACGTTTCGAATGTATCAATCATTCATTATCAACTTAAGATGCGCTTTGAGTGATGAAATTTTGGTCGACATATGTAAGTACAAAATCACGTAAATAGGATACTACTCAAAAATCAAAAATTTTTGATATTCAAAAAATTTCTAATAAGAAAATTGCCAATAAAACGAATTCTCTGGTCTTCAATGAAACCTGCTTAAAGGAACAAATTAATATAAATATACATAACATTCGTATAAATATGCATTAAAATAAATTCCTGTCAAAAACAGTGTAATAGAAGTGTAAGTTATAAATATATTAAATAGTTGTCTATGTAAAATAAATTTATATAATTCATATAAAGTTAAATATGAATTCATAAATTCATACAAATATGAATTAAACTGAGCATTAGAGGCCGGTCACTCTACACTGCTCCAAACTCGCCGCCTATTGATGAAAATTAAATAATTAAATATAAATATCAAAAATCATTTGTTGTGTTTGGTTGAATTCTATACAAATAATATACCAGATATTTATGGCCCTAATATTTTAATTGAATTTCGTTTAATATATAAGATCGTCCATTTGTATTGAAGTGTGGACTGCGGAGACTTGTATCTGTGGCGACTCTTAGATAATTGAAATTGTCTACGAGTAATTATAATATTTATATAAAATCAAAATTAAATAATATTGTCATATTATAAAATTAATATTATAACTGATGATATTAACACCAATTAATATTATCAACGATTAATATTAATATAAAATCATTATTAATTAATATTGTCATATTATATAATTAATAATATGAATAATGATATTAAAACCAATGCTTGCGTTAATTCTAAAATTATTTGGTGGAGATGTTTTGAATAATTCTGTATGATGGAAATACAAAAGTTCTGTTTTCTTCTGAAGAATAACATTCGCGTTGACTGTAAACCAGCGTCATCTTCTTGTGCTAAATAATAAAAATATAAAAAAGAACATGCGTCCTTTTCTTCTTCAAAAATAAAACCTCGTCAAAATTGACCCTCGCACTTAGTAACAGATCGACAATAATCAACAGTTACATTTTTTATTTAATATAATTAATTAAACCTTACTCGAGAATTACTTGCCGTGCACCATCAGGATATCATTCATTAGTAAAAGTTATCGAATAAGAAAAAGTGCATTCATTCTAAAGAGCGTAAAAATCTATGCTAATTTTTTACTTTTTTTTCCTGATTACGTTTTATACACGTGTATTGTTTGGGTCCATTATCCACCGACGGTAACTATCGTTACCAGGCTTACTTACTAGTACTCGAGTAGTGTTCAGATTTTCATGTATGCTCTTTTAACTTAGCACTTCTAAACGCATCTATTTGTACAGTCACGGTTGGTTATTTTTATGTACGTTGCAAATGTAGTCTCATAATGAGACTAATTATGTAGTCTCATAATGAGACTCATTATGTAGCCTCATTATGAGACTTAATAAGTTATTATGTAGTCTCATAATAAGACTCATTATGTAGCCTCATAATAAGAATCATTATATAGCCTCATTATGAGACTTATTATGTAGTCTCGTCTCATAATGAGACTCATTATGTAGTCTCATTATGATGCAGTCTTGCTCCATAATGTTATCCCCGTTCTCTCTCAATAACTCGGAAAGTGCAACAGAACCACAATTATTGATTATAGAATGTCTCATGCTTAATAATCAAGTGATTCTGTAAATACGAGTATTTTCTGTGTAAGATATTAAAGCGAAATAAATTTTTACTCGGCAAAAACCGTTTTACAATCACGAAAACGCGCTTCATTTATACCACAAATACGACCACAATGAAGTAACTTTACTACAAATAGTATTAACAAGAGTTAAAGGATTTGTAGCTAAGAGTCACCGTGGACAGTCTGTATTACATTAGTTTGTGTTAGTTTTATATTTTCTACAGACAGTGATGTATCGAAGAAAATATCGTTTTAAATGGTTTACTGAACTATTTTTGTAACAGTTGAACGAGTCTCTAAAATGATCTCGCCCAAAAAGAAGCTTTTTTTATGAGCCCCAGTAACATGGACTCTGGTTTACCTACATTAGTATTATTTATTTATTATTCAATCGTTTTGTGGTGTATTTTTATTTGGTTAACTTTCTCAAAATATGAATCTTTAGTGACAGAATTTTGAACAAGGTTCTACCTATGAAAAAAAATATCCTGAGCTCAAGTTGATAGTATGGAGCGCAGCGTGCCTTGGGTGCAGTGGCAAGGGAGATGGGATCGTTTCTGTTATTTATGTACGGATAATATTATTGTTTTTTTTTTTGTACGGATAACGGAATTGTTTCTATTAATTATGTGCGGTTAATGGGATCGTTTCCATTATTTATGTAAGGTTCACAGTATTGTTTCTATTATTTATTTACGGATAAAAGGATTTTATTATTATTTTTGTACGAGTAACGGTATTGTTCTTATTATTCAAGTGCGGGTAATGGGATTCACGCGCTGTGCATGCTTTGATGTAATGAAATGATTGTCTTTAATATTTTTGTCCGGGTAACGGGATTGTTTTCATTTTACATATACGGGATATAAGGTATGATTTTATTACTTTTTAAAAGTACGAGGGGAGTGAATGTATTTAAATGTATTACTTTTTAAATGTAACCTTCATATATTCATTAACCTCATTATTTTAATGATGCTTTGATTACATTAAATATTAGGTGTCAAGTGTATATATATATATATTTGTTTATTTTTACAGCTCGAAGGAGTTGATCAAGCAAGCGCTGCTAGAGAACGACTTCCTGATCTTATTATTTTAATAATGTTTTGATTACATCAAATATTAACTGTTAAGTATGTACCTATATTTGTTTATTTTTACAGCTCGGAGTTGATCAAGCAAGCGCTGCTAGAGAACGACTTCCTGATCTTATTAATTTAATAATGTTTTGATTACATCAAATATTAACTGTTAAGTGTATATATATATATATTAATAATGTAGTCTTTTATATATTTTATATGTATTATTATATGTATATATTTGTTTATTTTTACAGCTCGAAGGAATTAATCAAGCAAGCGCTGCTAGAGAACGATTTCCTGATCTTATTATTTTAATGATGCTTAGATTACATCAAATATATTTTTTTATTTTTTCTATTAACTGTTTAATATATATATTTATTTTATTTTTACAGCTCGAAGGAGCTAATCAAGCAAGCGCTGCTGGAGAACGACTTCCTGAAGAACCTGGAGCTCGGTCAAGTGAAGGAGATTATGGAGAGCATGTATTGTGAGGAGTGTGAAGCTGGAGCTGTCATCATCAGGGAGGGTGATACGGGCTCCATGCTCTACATCATGGAAGGTAAGGATAGTGTCTTTACCACTGCATTGTTAGTGATAATGATCATAATATAAGCTCACTACATCATGGAAGGTAAGGATAGTGTTTATACTATTGTATTGTTGATGATAATGATCATAATATAAGCTCACTACATCATGGAAGGTGAGGATAGTGTCTATACTATTGCATTGTTAATGATAATGATCATAATATAAGCTCACTGCATCATGGAAGGTGAGGATAGTGTCTTTACTGTTGCATTGTTAATGATTAAAAAATAAGCTCACTACATCAAGGAACGTAAGGATAGTGTCTTTACTGTTGCATTGTTAATGATCACAATAAAAGCTTACTACATCATGGAAGGTAAGAATAGTGCATGTCTTTACTATTGCATTGTTAATGCTCTCAACATAAGCTACATGTTCTACATTATAAAAGTACAATTTGTTCACCATTAATAATACGTCATGTAAGATCGTCTTCCGCCTCCACGCATGTCGCCCCTGTATCGCTATCACTATTTTAATTATTATTGCTCTTTTTTATGCTATTGTCCGTTAGTAGTATGTTATACCATCCATGATCACTAATATTTTATTTGAAAATGACGATGATCTTTTTTATGATGGTGACAACCTTGCACGATTTCTTAATTCTATGGTAACTTAGTAATTTTTTACTGATCCATACTAGGCTTCTATCGATAGGTTTAATCTCGCGTCCTGGTATCTTACGTGTAGGATTACCTGATTAAGTGAAAGATATGTTTTGTTAATGTAAAGTAATGTGTTGCGATTGAAATAATTTAATTTTTTTTGCATGCGTTTTTCAGTCAATATTAGTCGCAAACTTGACTTAAATTAAACTAGATAGTTTAATTCAAGTATTTCTATTTGTCATGTAAGATTGCTTTGTTAAAATATAATTTGCAAAATTTGCTTTACATATTTCAGAAATTAATGTTCATTGTTTATTCATAATGCATGGATTCAATGAGGAAAATGAACATGAGACTTATGAAATTCTCCAAAATGTCGTAAAGAAAATGAATCGTTTCTGAATTATGGTTAAAATTTTAAGAATGCAATCGAAAATTTTCCATGTGAAAAGTTGGTTTGCGTTAAAATTTGAGCACGAAGAATTTTTGGTATATGTATTTTTGATAAAAAAAAACGTAGTTTATGAATTAGTGATATTCAGCACTGTTCTGTAGGCATAACGCCACAACTAAGAAATCAATTGAGTCTATGCCTGAAAGAAAATTCACAGAAAACGATCATCGTCAATGAAAATGGTTTCTAGAGCATGAACTGAATTAAATTTGTGCTCGTATTGGATAATGAATTGTATAAAATGTTGCCATAACAAGCTGTGCAACACATCTTCTGCACCAATTACCAATAAATTTCTGAATCCTGCTTCATTGAAAACTTCGAAAAATTTTCATGAAGTTTATAGCATATTATTTTCTAGCATGTGTCACTGGCTCACTGCTACATTTAGGCTTATTTTATTTCCCCTGACGCCTGTTAAAACTTTATTATTGTTCGATTTAATCATTTATGACTAGGGTGGAACTCTAGGAATGATGGTGCATTGTGTTATAATTGTTATAGCTGCATGACTTACTACAATAAATAATTGTAATTGCTGTAATAATTGTAATCGCTCATAAAATCGCTGCTGAGTTAAGAAAAAAGTGCGATCACGTTTCTGGGTTTTCAATCAATATCAATCATCATAATAATAATCAGTCAATACCTGTTTAAAATCGACTGAACACCTGTTTATAAATTACAGCTTCCACTTTTAATGAAATATATAAATGGAATTTTCGTCTTTATTTTGAATTTAACTGCCGGGCAGCTGAGGTGCCGTTGTATGCATGTTGGCGTCGCTCAAAGCGGTAGCCGCGGACTCAGAACTTGGATGAATTTTTTTTATTGCTTCACATGAAGGTCGACGGCATTCGGTACAGCCTCCGGCAAAACTCCTACAGAAAATAACCTCGATATTTTCATGCACATTCTGCTTCTGTCCCCCACTCCCTCTGCACATAATTACTCTCTCCATCTTTTGCTTGTTCCCTCTTCCTACTCTCCTCCCCAGCCAATATATTAATTATTTTAGGTTCATCGCTTTCTCCATTTAATTACTTTACATTTTTAAAGCTTCATTTTCATCCACACCCCTCCTTTCATTCTCACCCCTTTCTTTCACTCCCACCCCTTCTTTCACTCCCACCCCTCCTTTCACTCCTACCCCTCCTTTACTCCCACCCTTTCTTTCACTCCCACCCCTCCTTTCACTCCTACTCTTTCTTTTACCCTGATTGTTAATCTAGCTTTTCATAAATAACCATTTGTTTTAGTCTCATTTTATATATAGCTTCATTTTATATTTTTCATATACCTATCTCTCAGTTTATATATATCGCTTTTTATATGTCCCCTACCGAACTTAATTCATTCACCCCCAAAATATATAATAAAAATTGCTGAATATTTTACAAACTGCTCAACAAAATGTTTACTCGTAATTGCTGATAATTCATCAAGCAAGGCTTTTTAAATGTTATTACTTATTTAAGTTACTATTATATATGATACGTTTTTTTATTCTTATGGCTCCATAATGTTCTCCTAAAATTAGTTCTGTGGGGGTAAGGGGGAGGGAGCAGGTTGCCATGATGGTTGTTTTTTATTTTATTGAAGGGGGTAAGGGGGAGGGAGCAGGTTGCCATGATGGTTGTTTTTATATTATTGGGGGGGAGGGAGAGGGGAGCAAGTTCGGCCTTGTGCCGGCCTATCCAGCCTTGCATGGAATGCGTCCCCCCGGGGGAGGGGGCCGACCCCCCCCACTCCCCCCCGGGGTGGGAGGGGAGGGGGCCGACAGCCCGTAGCGGATGACGGCTTCCGTACGCGTCTTGATTTTCACTTAAATTTATATTGGCTCTTGATTTATGTATGATGGTTTGGCCTTGATGAAGTTTTAATGATTTTTTAATGTTACGATGATGTTTCGATGATTTTTCGTTAATGTTTAGTTGATGTTTTGATGTTTCCATGATGTTTTGATGATGTTTCGTTAATGTTTAGTTTATGTTTAGGCCCGTAAATTTTATGATGTTATGGTGGGTTGAATGTTTTTATCTCCACGTTGCATTTTAGTGAGGACTTACTTTTAATATATTTTTTTAAATATTCCATACGACGTTGTATGAAACAAATTTATTGCAGTTTTATTTTTTTAACAGTGAAGCGAAGACACTGAAATTTTCGCCTAAGAAGTTATCCTTAGCTTCGTACCCTTTGACCTTTGCCGTTTCGGTCGCTTACAACCAATTATTAGGCAAAAATTAGGCTAGAATTAAAAATATACAGGTAACGAAGATAGAAAAAAAGCTTCGCGAGAAACATAGCTAACTTAGCTAACTTATGGCCAGGCAATAATATAAATTATTGTCTGGCCTTTAATTATTATTGTTATTATATTATTGTTACAGGTTCACGAAGAAAATTCTAGAGAAAATTTTCTAGAGAGAGAAAGAAAAATTTTCTACGAATTTCAGAACGGGAATGACATAGTAGTAGTAGTAGTAGTAGAATGATTTGCTAGCGCTTCAGCTATCAAGCTATTTCGCGCCGGAGGTCATAATATAACATCGCCAGCAAGGCCGAAGGTCTCAATTATTCAAAATCTCAAGTTAATCATCACCCACAAGGGGCGGAAGGTCTCAGATGTCCAGCCCGCTGAAGCTGGCTCGAAGGAAGCAGCGTTAGCATCTCAAAAGAGACGAAGTGACAAGGAGGGACAGGTGGAAAGCAACAGAAACGAAGACACTCGAACAAGAGGTCGCTTACACGGGACGTCGGCCGCCCGCACGAGAGAGACAGAGAAGGGAAATGTAAATAATCCTGCCTACATAATAACTTAATGTAAGGAATCCTACCTACATACTAACTTAATGTAAGGAATCCTACCTACATAATAACTTAACCCCACAACTGAGACCTGCAGTCAGACACCGCGAGCTCAGCGGTGGGGCGCTCAGGAACAATCCCCCTAGGAGCGCGAAATCCCATAGGACTTCTGACGAGCACAGACACACGTAATGACATAGGAGTTCTACATTGAATGTAAATTTGAAAATGCCTTTTTCCGATTAACATTTCTTTTTAAAAATTGCAATTGAGCTTAGTTCTCGCTTTGACATTTTCGTTATAAGTGGACTTCGCACATAGATTGTCTTTTACTTGAAGTTAGCTATGTTTCTCGCGAAGCTTTTTTTCTATCTTCGTTACCTGCATATTTTTAATTCTAGCCTAATTTTTGCCTATTTTCAATGCAGCGAACTTGAAACAATGCCCTTATAGGGGAAAATTTAAGGTCAACGCATCTAGTTTGTTACTTTTATCCCACCATATTTTATGTGTGTGATTAGTTTTTTCGAAGTGTTAATATTTGTTATGGATATGACTGTCGATTTACATCCATGTTTTGCAGTGTATATAAAGTGTATAATTGACACAGTCTATATTTTAATCACATTCACTTGTATTAAATTATACTAGAGTATAAGTGCAAAAAATATCGTTTCTGCGGTAATTCGCAAAGTTTATATTTTAATAACATTATTTTTTATTTAATTATACCGGTGTGCAAAATTATTAACTATACTTTTATTTAATTATAAGTGCAAAAATATCGCTTCCGGGAATATAGGTGTAGAACTTTGACGAAGATTATCTATTTCAAATATTTTATACTACGGTATTTGTACTCTGTCTGATCTTTTTTTATTTGTAGCGATTATTTAAAATAAAATCTAACTCGATGATATTAATATTTTTTGCCGACATATTTTTAGTGTTTTTAACTTACATCAGAATAATTCGCTAACGCCATCACTAAATCGAATTTTTGTTCGCTCTAAACAGTTAAGGAATTCGTTAACGGCTATCGTGAATGCTCGTACGCATTCCTGACATAAATACGGGTACTTATATAGATAAGGTTTGCAGTTTACGTATATTACGTACTTTTATCCACCAAAATTTGATAATTCAATGCTTTTGTAACTTAAAAATGAATACATGTAGGTACTTATATAGATAAGGTTTGCAGTTTACGTATATTATGTAC